ACTTCGGTTTCTTCCATTCCACCTTGGATGGTAAGGTCCTCCAGGGCTGAGTTCATGCCTCCTATTTACTCCTGGAACAGGGTGCTGCATGCTGCGCAGCTGCTCTGACAAGCTAGGTTTCTGGTGGCACCTGGGGAAGGGCCATAAGGAAAAGAGGGAGGAGGTGGGGGTACCCCCTGGCTTGGTCTAGTTTCAAGAATGATTGTTATCACATGCCAAATATCCACCCCAGCAGGTGACTCCTTTGCAGAATCACAGAAGGAAAAGGTAGTCCACAACAGCAGGCCCAAAAGTAGAGGGTACTGAGGCAGTGGGCCCTGCGCTTCTTCCCTGCCCAGCCCTTGTTGGTGAGGCTTTCCCAAGCCACCCACCTGGCTCCAGCCATTGTGTGATCCTTTTTATTAGACATTGTGTAGCTCCCAAACTCACTGCCAAGGTGATTCCCACTCCTAGTGACCTATAGGATAGACTGGAACTGTCCCTGTGGGTTTCCGAGACAAAATCTTTTTGGTAGTAAAAACCTCATCATGCTACCAGAGAGTAGCTGATGGTTTTAAACTGCTGACTTTGCAGCTCCCAGTCCAACACATAGCCCACTAAACCACCAGGGCTCCCGAACTAAATTCCCTACAAAGCATTTTTGAATTTTTCACTAGGTTTACTCAGTCCAAAGGTGCTCCATCTTCCTCTCTTTTTCTCTTACCACACACCTGCTAACTTGTTCTGTTTCAGGATGGACTCATGTTTACTTCTGCTTACAGTTGCCCCCTCTGTCCATTCTCTGTCTTTGAAACTTCTCCTCACAGCTCACCCTCTCTGCTTAGAGCAATGCAGAGAAATATCTGTTACCACGTGGCTCCTGATAGTTTTGGGATGGCGGCCTGGGGCTCTGCATTTCTGCCGAGTGTCCAGGTGGTTTCCTGACTGCTGGTCTAGCGATCATACTCAACAGATGCTGGCAAACTTTCTGTGAAGGGGCAGTGTGTTAAGCAAGATTCTCTAGGGAAAACAAACCAGAACATTTAGGATTTCTATATAAGGATAGGTTTATGTAGCGAGAAGGACTACAACAGCTAATTAGTCCACAAAGCAGTACAGAGGGCTCAGTCCAGCTCACTTCCATGGGACAGTTAATATACTAAAGGTCCTTCCAACTCACCCTAGCCACTGGTCCCAGGCCAAGGAAGCACACAGTGAAGTGGCTGGCCACATGAGGAGTCTGCTTGCAGACAGCAAGGTTGGGCAGCAAGATGAGATGTGGAGGCGTAGTAGAGGCCAGTAGTACAACAGCATAGTGAAGCAGACTCTGATGGAGCCTCAGAGTGTAGCAATGCACTGCACAGCACTATGATGCACCATGATCCATGGGTTGGCTCAGCCCACAGGTAGCGCAGCACCTGGTTGAGGCAGAGCAGCTAACTCAGGCAGCAGAGTGCTGATCTGATCACCAGGGAGAAAGGAAGAGGCTGGCCTTAGCAGTTTATCTTGGTGCCCTCCAATCAAGCTGTGACCTGATTGACAGGCTACATGTTCCTACAGAAGCCATGTTGGCACCAAAAAGCCTGACTATCACAGACAGATAGTAAATAGTTCAACCTTTGTGGCCATATAGTTTCTCAGCTAGTCAGCTCTGTCCTTGTAATGCAGAAGCCATCATAGATAGTACACAAGTGAGTAGGCATGGCTGTGTTCGTTATTCTTCTAAAACATTTCTTACAAAAACCGGTCGTAGTTTGCTGATCCTTGTTCTAGAGCACAGACTGTGGAGTCAGATTGACTGGTTTGGAATTTTAACACTTCACTTGCTGGCTCTTTTCATGCCTAGAGGGGTGATAATCATATTAACAACTTTCGAGTTATTGAGAAGATAAGAATCGAAGCATGAAGGCAGGACCTTGGTTTTGTTTAATATTGTGTCTTTGGTTCTAGAAAAGTATCTGTCCCAAAAAAAAGTTAAAACCAAGCCTATTGCCATGAGATTGCTGACTCATAGGGACCCTACATAAAGTTTCCTGAACTGTAAATCTTTATAGAAGAACCCAGTCTCATTTTATCCCTATGTAGTGGCTAGTGGGTTTGAATTTTTGAACTTGTGGTTAGCAGCCCAGTGCTGACACCACAGCACCACCAGGACTTTTTATCTGGTCTATCCAAAACCACACAGCCACATCCACTTACAGCAGCACTCTGTAACAGCGGTTCTCAACCCTTTGGGGGTTGAACGACCCTTTCACAGGGGTTGCCCGATTAATAACAGTAGCAAAATTACAGAAATAGCAACTGCATTAAAGAGTTGCGGCATTAGGAAGGCTGAGAGCCTGCTCTATAGGGTGTCTGAGGCTAACTTTGCAGTTATCAGTCCAGCTGCAACTCAGCAGTGCCACCAGGGCTCCTTGTCTATCTATTTCATCCAAAACCAACCCCCCACCACTCCCCACTCCCAATTGAGTTGATTTGGACACAGCCACCCTATGTGGATTTCTAAGGTTCTAAAGATCTTTACAGAAGCAGATAGCCTCAACTTTATTTGGTGTCGTGGTTGACAGTTTTGAATCACTGACTTTGTTATTTAGTGGTCCAGCACTTAAATTACAGTGCCACCAGGTCTCCTTTATCTGTCTTATAGTAGGTGCTACATTAATGTAAGATGTTAACTGCCACCAGGGGTTCTGACTCATAGCCATCCTGTGTACAACAGAATGGAATACTGCCCAGGACTGTGCCATCCCCAAAACGGTTTGAGCCCATTGTCGCAGCCACTGTGTCAGTTTATCATGTTGAGGGGCTTATACTTTTTCACCAACCCTCTACTTTACCAAAGATGATATATTTTTTCAGGGACTGGTCCTCCTGATAACATGTCCAGAAACACATGAGACAAAGCCTCGCCATCTTTGCTTTTAAGGAACGTTAGCTGTTAATTACTTAAATCGCAACAAGTTGGAGAGGTGGGGGTTTATTAGAGAGATTCCCGCAAACCTAGCTTACCAAATTTCATTCAACTAGTCCAATTTTTTAATACTGTCCCACCACAAAATCACAGATCTCATGACACTCACAATCCGTAATAAGATAACCGATACTGGTAATGCCAAGTTATATTGTGCTGGAAGTAATGATGGGATTCGGTAATGGTTTAGAAGACATGCTGTAGGAGCTGAAATTTAAAGAGTAAGACTTTTCCAGAGAGTTATTCGAAACCCGGGGATAGAACATGTGAGGTTTGGAAGTGAGAGCAGGCCCTAATTTGGGTTCTTTGGCCTCATGAGATCATGAGTTCCATTTTATGGTATCCACTAATGGAAACGGCTCAGTTCTCAGTAGGACTGATAGACGGAAGGGGGTGGAGGAAAAATGTAGAACAGGATACGGCCCTGTCCTTTTCCTATTCATAAAGACTTAATAAAGCTTACGTGTCCAGTATATACTGTCCTTGTGTGCTTTCAGATTCAGTTGTGTATTTTTATTATGGAAAAACTAAAACATTTGAGAAAGAGTAATACAGTCATTCTCTATATGCATCTCCAACCAATCAGGGCCTAAATTGGTACATCCATATCCCCTGTCCCCAACCTCTCGAGTACTTTGAAGACATCTCAGACTTAAGAGTCACTTGTCAAATTTTCTGACACCTCTGATTTCCACAGAGGCTAGTGCTGCCGAGGAAGCAGGTGTGCACGTAGCTGTGGTGGTGCGGCCCGGCAACGCGGGACTAACGGATGATGAAAAGACTTACTACAACCTCATCACATCCTTCAGCGAACTCTACCTGCCTACTTCCACTTAGAGAGAAGCACGAAACGGAAGACGAAACGCTTCCTCTGCGTCAACCCTGTAGTCTAGTTTTATTCTAATGGTAACTTACTTAAAAAACAAGAAACACACACACACACACACACACACACACACACACACACAGGTGTATATGTGTACATCTTCAAATTACCTTCCACAAGCATAAGTCGGGGGAAAATACTCAGTGCAGTGGAATGGAAGCTAATTTAAAACTGTATTATATGTAGACATTGTTCTAAGTCATAGTGTAACCCTTACTGAGAGCAAAGTGTAGTTGCTAGAAGAAATTACTAAAATATGGATTAAATGTGTTATGTTTATTAGGCCACATACCAAAATGGAAGCTGGTTTGGGGAAATTATTCAGGAGTCTGCTATATTAAAAACGAAGTATTTCAAAGGCTTACTCCTTTGAATAAGGCATTGCTAAATTTTCATTGTGTGCTAAAAGATTAAAGCAAGTGTATTTCACAATATTTGCCTCCCTCTATACAGAAAATAAAGATGTTTACTTCTGCTCCAAAAGAGCATTATTGAAATAGAAAATCAACTCAAGTCTTAATTAGTTGGGCTGTTACTTTAAGAAGAGACTTGGTAGTCTACAGCAAGCAATTAATTGCCTTACCAATGAAAAATGTGCATTGACTTAGTAAGTAAAGCATAGTTCTGGTTCTTAGTATTTACCACAACATTCTTAATTGTGCCAGTTGTTAATAATAAAAGATTTAATGGTTGCCTTTCTAACTACTACTTAGCACAATTTTAGAATATTGCTATTTAAAGTGGGAAAAGGGTATTACTGAAGTTGGTAAGATTAAAAAAGAGCTCTAATATGAAATATTTTCCTTTGTAATGGATGTGAGAAATGTAAATTTTATAACAGCATTATTTATCCTGTTTCAGTTCTAATAGACTATTGTGTCAATTTCTCTGTGATTAATAAAATCTTTCCTTTTTCCATTCAGTTTTATGAGGTCCCTGTACTATGCCACAAACTGCCATAAGGGAAACAGACCAAAGAAAAAGGAAAAAACGATAATTTCATTTTAATTTTTGAATAAATGTGTGTGTGTGTGTGTGTGTGTGTGTGAGTGTGAGTGTGAGTGTGAGTGAAATGCCAGTGGAAAAATTATAGTTGAGTTATATAGCTAACTTCACAGGTTATTATTTCATTTGGAAAGTTAGCACTCAGGATATGAGTTGGGGTTCTTAGATTTCTTGAGACTCTTACATTTAAGGTATGTACGTTAATGCTTAAAGGAGGTATTTGTCCTTCTAATTATTTAGGAAACACTAATGGAACCTGGGGAGATAATTTGGGGAGTGTTTTTGAATAAGGAGAAGGAAATAGTCTTGCAAATATGAGAGCACAGGGGAAATAAAATATTTTATGGCTGTTTTTCTTTTCTTGTTCAAATAGCTGATTAAGAAATCTGAAGACTGACAGGATACAGGGTTAGAAAAAGGGAGATGAGTTTAAATGAATCTTAGAAATGGGATTAATTTGTAAATGATAGTAAAACCATTATTGCTAGGTGTCCTCGAGCCAATTCAGAATCGTAGTGACGATGCCACGGTGCCTGGTCCCGTACAGTACCGTTCTCACAATTATTCCTGTTTGAACCCATTTTTCTACCACTGTATCCACCCAAGTCCGTGGAGGTGCTTCTTCCTTTCACTGATCTCTGCTTTACCAAGCGTAATAGACTTCTTTACGGACTGCCCCTTCTGATGATACAGAGTTAAATGAGATGAAGTCTCCCCATCTTTTAAGAAATCTGGCTTACATCTTCCAAGGCAGATTTATTCAATCTTCTAATAGTCTATGGCAGTGGTTCTCAACCTGTGGGTCACTACTCTTTTGGGGATAGTGACCCTTTTACAGGGGTCACCCAATTCGTAACAGTAGCAAAATTACAGTTATGAAGTAATAACGAAAATAATGTTATGCTTGGGGGGTCACCATAACATGAGGAACTTCATGAATTAAAGGGTCACGGCATTAGGAAGGTTGAGAACCATTGGTCTCTGGTATTAGTCAATATTCTTCAACAGCTCCATACTGCAAAAGCATCAGTTCTTCAGTTCTCTTTTTTCACTGTCCAGCCTTTGCATGCATATGAGGTCATTGAAAATACCATGCCGTGAGTCAGGCACACCTAATCCTCAAAGTGATATCATAGAGATCTTTTGTGACAGATTTGCTTCAATGGAATATGTTGTTTGATTTCCTATCTGCTTTTTCCATGGGGCTGATTGTAGAGCCAAGTAAAATGAAATTATGAAAAAAAAAAATGACATAGGATTGTTTGTGTACTCTGGCTTCACTAGGGGGAAGGAAAATTAAACTGGGAAATCAACATCGTCCCAGGCCAGTTTCTATGAGGCTGAGGTCAGGCATTTACCCCCGCCCCCCTCCTTCCTGTCTATCTTGACACCTGCCCGTCCCTCACACCACTCTACTTGTCATCTGGATCCGATCATTCATTGCCATGACTGCACAGAACTCAAGACAGCACTCAACAATTACACGGTGTGTTAGGGAAGTTAACATGAGAAATGCTCAGGATATAGTTGCTCATAGGCAGGCCTGTCTCTGGCCCTCAGCCTTGCTCAGATAATGCTACGAGGTATTTTTTAAAAATTTTATTGAATCATTTTATTGGGGGCTCATACAACTCATCACAATCCATACATACATCTATTGTGTCAAGCACATTTCTGCATTTGTTGCCATCATTCTCAAAACATTTGCTTTCTACTTGAGCCC